GAAAAACAGGCATCTTTTTTATATATTTGTGCAAATGTTGCATTTTAATAATATTTACACTCTTTAAATATAAGTGCGAGTCATTTGAGACTGTCAGAACACTGTCGAACCACTGCATAAACACTGGCATCTTTTTTCTGCCTGTCCTTGTGAGCAAATTATGTTAGCGCAAACTATCATTCTCGTTGTAGATTGTTCTCAAACAGTTCCGCAATGTTTTATGTTTTGATTTCACTTATGGATGTAAATTAGTACTTGTGGTTTGATGCTTGCGTTTTTCAAAATAAATTTTGGCCCAAAAAAAATAAAAATAAAGATATGTTACATTCAATGTTTGTCTCCAGCTTCTTGAAAACCTTTAATTTTGATACATCATTTTAGATGCAGGTCTTACCTCCAGGTCTCCATTTGTGTTTCCTCTAGCTGATCTGAATACAACCGAAGTAGAGTCTCTGTCTGCTAAAGTGAAGTATTCGAAAATATCAGGCAGGTTTTATTTAAATCACAGTTTCCATGATACCTGTTATTGAGATTACTAAAGGCACGTTTGCATATGTCATTCAGCCTCACTGAATATATTCTTCTAAATTACTGTTTATTTCGAGTTTAATTCTGTAGTGCTGAATAAGACAGAAAACCTCCAGACACATAATTGTTATAATAAAATGATAAAACATATATATAATAGAACTGCTCATAACAGTAATCAGAAAGACATCACCAAAACAAAAATGTAATTCAACCTAATTTATCTTCCAGACTTCTCCAGTTTTCAATTGGGAAAGTGTGAAAGAAACATAGAGGAAGGCTGCCCTCTACAGTTTACTTAAATCACACAGGGTTCAAGCTGTCCTGAATAAGGATTCATTTGTCAAACTAGTGAGACCTTTTTGAATTTGGATCAATTCTGTTATGCTGTCCCTGTTTACTTACATACATTTGTTTTAATTTAAACACGTATTTACTATTTAAAGGGGTTCAATACCACAAAACATTACAGAATTCATAAAATACAGTGTTTTGGCTTGTTTGGGCTCTTGAACAAAACCATCAAACTGTGGTTTTAGTTAAAGGGCAGTTCCCATTGATCTAATTGTCTGCAGGCATTAGAGTTGTTTAATCTTTTTTAAACTCTTCCTGTTTTAATTCTCAAAACTTGTTTCAATTTACTATAATGTATTTCTACATACTATTAATTAATTAATTACTATTACTATTCTACATACTATTAATTCATTTTGTTTCTTATTGTTATTTGTACTTGTCTGTAGGCTTATAGGCTACTGTATATTGTTTTGCGCATTAATTAAAAGATAAATAAAAGATCGTTTCAAAAGACTTAGGCCTAAATGAAGGAAAGTGAAACTGACAATAGAAAAACCAACAACAAAATAAAATTGATGACCAACCAACAAGTCAGATGTCAAAGATAGCCTACATCTTTAAAAATTTAAAAAGAGTGTAACGGGGCTATATAAAACTTTAATGTGGGCAATTAATTGTTTTTTGTTGCCAATGTGTGAACTGCTTAACTAAACTTAAAAAATTAGACTTTTTGACCAAGAGAGCCTGCATGTTGACTGACTTTTATGTGAAAAACTCGGGAAAATCAAAATGACGTGTTTACGCGCGCTCCAGAGACCCTCTCTCCAGTCCAGTTCAATGACGCATCAAATGATTCTTCAGGCAAGACCTTAACAGTCTATGGGCAAGACCCATTCTTTATTGTAAATTATGTAATGTCAATCTGTCTCACATACCCAGATGTATAATCTCAAATATGCCAATAAGCCTACTTTACTGTATCAAATTATCTGCAGTGTAATTTTAATTACCTCCTCTGTCGAATTGCCGGTGAATTGTCATTTCTGTTGTATGTGTGAAATTTTGTTATTGAGAGGAAAGCGCGCGAGGAGTGCAGACGTCCGCCAGCGTGGATGGTGTTAGGATGAAGTTCGTAAACAGTAGGCCTATGCTACAGCTGCAAAGGTATTTCCAAATTCTTTTAAGTTCTAACTATGCGAAGAACGAAAAAAGAACTTGGATGTGAGAATATCGGACCTTGAATCACGTTCAACCTCTTTGTTCTTGAGTGAGGGGCCTGCGAGCACGAGCAATAAGTTTAAGTTGCTGGCTGCAGTTCACATAACCGGCCACTGGTGTCGCTAATAACAAGGGTTTTTGATCACATTAAAGTGTTATGTGCATGAGAGCAGAAGAGAACAATCTTTATCCATATGTTTACAATTGTGAGTTTAATATGTATATTATCATTATAGCATGCATGTATGTCTCTCTGAACGCAGTTGGGTGACCATATTTTGATTACCAAAAACCAGGACACTCGGCCCAGCAAACAGATACTCAAATGATACTCGATGTTTACTCAAAGATGCCTTATTAATTTCAATACATTTAAAGTAGCCTAGGCTATGCCTCCTCTGTATGGATAGAAAATTGTTATATTACAAGACACAAATTCAGATTGGCTTCTCAGAGGTTACACAACATGTTTTATTATGACAGGTTTCAAAAATAATGAATGAAATAATGATAGAAATAAATGTCTCTTCTGTATTAGAAAAAATACATAACAGAACACTGCTAACATAACTTCAGTTCACACGTATTTTCTTGTTTATTAGTCGTCATAAATCTTATCGGATGAACTTGAAAAGTGACCGCATCCTGATGTTTGTATTTACATTATACAATCGAAACGTACTGTAAAGCCTATACGTTTCAGAATTGCAGGTTATTTCCTCCAGGTCTCTGTTGGGAGGTAATAACCTTGCTCTGTCTCAGATTATAGCTAAGCTGGATGTGAGTTAATGCTACCCGTCTCAGATACCCGTCTCCATCCTCAGGACGTTCTTCAAGGGTAGAGGGAGGAGGAGGATGGAAACGTGTGTTCTGATTATGGATAGAAGTCTGTCAAGGAAGTACCTAAAAACATGCTTGCCTTTAAAGTCACCATAAAAATCAAAATCGACAGTTCTTGTTTCTTAATGGAACATTGTATTTATTATAAAGTAGTATTTATTATAAATAATTGATCATTATTTTTTAATTCATGTGCCCCCATAATTGGGCGGGACAACCTGTCACTCACATGACATCACAACAATAGCAAATCACAACAATCCAATCAATTGACCCTTTGCTAAGCCACGCCTGAAAAACGCTACTGGCCAGTCGTGTCTTAGCAACCGTTACTAGGCGGCTTTCGAGCGAGGAAAACATGCCACAGCATTGTGCGTATGGATTGTGCAAATCTGATTCTCAGTATCCTTAAAGTTTGGATGGGGGAGTGGAATTTTTTTCCTTCCCGGAAATCTAAAAGCCGTGGGGAGAAATGATGGGCGTGATCAAGCATTGTGGGAGACAGATTCACAACTAAATGTCGACAGGATTAACTTATTGCTTGGAAATATTGACGGTTCTTTGGTCATAATGCGTATGTTTTAACGTAAAATAAGACGAATAAAGACAAGACGGAGGCTCACTGGCATACTTTAAAATATATTTCAGCATTTTTACAATACGGGTGCACTAATAACCATTAATTCATGTTTAACTAATGCACAGATAATACTGAATTAATGTGTAACTAATGATTATTTAAGCTATTCGTTAATCATTACCACATTAGGAACTAATTAAGAGTATGTAAGGCTAATGTATTAGTTCATACATGAATTGTTATTAATTAAATATGTAATTGTGGATTAATTCCATAATAACTTTTTTTTTAACTAATAGTGTCAATTAATATGTTAATTACCAGAATGAGCCAAAGCCTTGTATTGCAACTTCCAGATAATAGGACAGGTACACTAATGATTAATTACTTCATTGTTACTGCAAATTCATGTGCAAATTACTACAATTACTAAATGATGATGTACCCCATCAAGTAAAGTCATAACATAATGATACGTTTGCAAATCATTAGCTAATGATTAATTAAAGCAGACAACTGGAAGTTGAAGTGCATAGCTTTGACTAATTGTGGTAATTAACACATTCATTTACACTATTAGTTCATAAAATATGTTATTAAGTAATTAATAGACAATGACACATTGAATTAATAGCAATTCATGTAATACTTAATCTATTAAACATTTAGACTCTTTATTAGTTGCTGATGCATTAATCATTAATTAATGGTTTAGTTCTTCATTAGTTATACATTAACTCATGATTATCTGTGCATTAGTTAAGCATGAATTAATGCATATTAGTGCACCCGTATTATTTTCACATTTCATTTACCCTGCTGTGCATGAACATAGCTGGTCCTCAATTTGTGTGTTTCCCATTTGAATGCGCTGGGACTATAGGCTTTAGCTTCAATTTTTAAGAAATTATTCTCTAAGCGGTTGCACATTATGGCGTGGATATATCCCTCGATATACTGGAATGGAATACTGCAGTCCCTTTTTTTCTTGCTCTCTCAGATATTTCACATGTTCACCAAAAATTACTAATTATCTCATTGGGAATGTCTGACACCAGTGCATACTCACGAAAGCTGGACAGGCATAGCAACAGTAACTAGGCTTAGCTAAGGGTCAATTCCAGAAGGACGAAATCAAGTTCTGCCCTACATTTTTTCTTGTTCGAGAAGCCGTTTCACTCATATATAGATGTCACAATAAGGAAAGAAAAGACTATGTTTCTACTAGCAGTCTCATTGTTTCATCCAATGACTGTCAAACTAATCCTGTGTCCTTTCATTGACATTACATTGCACAATACTACCCTCATTGGCCCAATTCCCTTGTTACTACAGTACAGGTTGAATGAAATTAAAGTTGGAAGTTTACGAGGGCACAAATCATCACCCCACTGTTAGGTCACTGTATGGGCAGATGAATTTATCCCTGTGTATATTGGGAGTAAAGAGTCTAATCTCATAAGAGGCTCAAGCCGCTTGAGGCCGCATGGAGAAGGAGGAAGAGAGCGAACGGAAGCGGTGTAGTTTCACACTCTGATCGTGTCTGCCGTGCCGTGTCACACCACTCTCGGGATTTTTCTGTCGGACATGTCGCTTGAGGTTGGACGTCCCAATGCATTGAGGATGCAGTGGGTTGAGGAGAATCCTGGAGCTGCTTTCATGGATTTACCAAGATGTTTAGCTTCATGCGTTTGAGTTGTATGAGGTTCGTGCATGCAAAATGCATTTGAGCAGTTGTCACTCAATTTAGATATTCATTTTTAGATATTCGTCTGTTTTTTAACTTAATTAAATAAAAAATAGAGAGAAAAGCAAAGCGTCTTGGTTGTGTGCAGACCAGTTTGCTATTTTAATTATTCTTTTAATATTTTTTTCTTTATTTAAATGTGAATTTAACTTTTATTCATTTTGTTCTGTGTTTTTCATCATTTTTAATAAGTGAAAATTGTTTATTAATTTTTATTGAATTTTTTTTTTTTTTAGGATTTCTGCGTTGGCAACTACTGAATAATTTTTTTTTTTTTATATTTTAGTTCAGTTCGTTTTTTATTTTTATGATTAAAACTATTAAGCGTGACGCAGACAGGCATTTCAAATATTTTCGCTAAGGATTTTGCATATCTTAATATTTTGTTAATTATTAATAATCTATTTTGTCTTATAAAACAATGTCAAACTCAAAGTAAACATTTTCTTAAAGGATGTGTCTTGATTGGATGCCGTATGAGATACTATTATATTCTTATTAATATTTTTAATTCGTTTTTATTTTCATATTTACAGTTTTTAGTTTAATGTTATTTTTCATTTTAAACTAACTTTTTTCAGTTTAAAAGTTATGTTATTGTTTTTGATAGTTTTTGTCTTTTAAACTTGTCTTTAAAAAAGTGTATAAATTAATTTATATAGGCCTAATACATATCGTATATATTACAAATATATACATTTATACATTTTTTTTGTGTTCTTTTTTTTCAGTTAAGGTTTATTTTATTTCAAGTAACAGTAAAGTTTTAATTAACTAATAAACCCTGACAGGAATTTTTAATATTTGCTGAATATCTTTTTAATATTTGCATATTTTGTGTCCAGTGCAGAGATGCCTTGGCTGATTATTGAGACTAGCTGCAGCCTGATTGGCTGGTTCTTTCTGTACGTGTTGCTGTGTCACTTGAACAGTGATGGAGATTACGAGTGGAACTGCAGGCTGGTGACTTTGCTCCATGGCATCCTGAGCGTCTGTGTGACTGCCTACATTGGGTTCATTGCTGGGCCATGGCCTTTCACACACCCAGGCAAGTTGTCCTGTTTTGTTTTGGAACCCTTTTTACTTCAGTATTGTGACTATTTCCTAATTAAAAGAAAAATTGAATAAGGAAAAAATTGAGGAATTGATTTTAGTGCATATCTAGCTTGCAGCAGAATGATGATTTGAGGATAACAATATTCTCTCCAAGACGTCAAACTGACATCATCAGAAAAGGAACGTCCTTCCTGAGGGGAAGCACATTTTCAGATTTTGACTAACGATTATGATTTTTTTATTGCACAAATTAATTAGTCTGCATAATAAGACATGTAAAGACAATATAAAATAAATAGGTTTTGTTTTAATTTTTTGCAAATTTGGACTTAATGACCTAAAGCAGGACTTATAAATGAAATCACCATGCAGATAATTTTTTTATGGAAGTTTATTGAACCTTTAGACAACCAACCCTTTTTTTAACTTTCATTGGGTTAAAGTTTCAAGAGTTTTACCAGTAGTTATGTTTAGGTTTAAAGGTTAGGTCAGCTCTGGTTATTATATTATATTATATTATATTATATTATATTATATTATATTATATTATATTATATTATATTATATTATATTATATTATATTATATTATATTATATTATATTATATTAGCAATTCTTTTTTATAATTTTATTTTAATTACCCTGTCAAGCATGACTTTTGAAACAATAGTCCGAAATAAAAACGTTTTTTATATCGGAAAATTTTACTGAATTTCCACAACTTTTCCATTACATTATTACATTTTATTATTGTTAACTACATATTAAGATTTGATTCATTTCCACAACTTTTTCCATAACATATTAAAATATTAATTTCCACACCTTTAGTGTCACTTTTATTATTATATAATAAAAGTGACACTTTTATTATATAATAATGGTAATCATTGAATATATCAATTCAATTTAAATAATTAACAATAAATTCCAGAAAATGAATAATACAAATACACAAAGTGCTATAAAATAGTATAAACTGCTAGTTTATGTATACTCAATCCTCTTGTCTCACGAGAGTTAGGGCACCATTGCTGATCCACACGGATCTTATCTCATATTAGAGTAATTGTTTATAAATTACAACGGCCTGTCAAGCCTTTAAGAATGAATTAGATGTGACTTCTGGCTCTCTGGTTTCCAGGCACTGAGAACACATCTCTCCAGATCCTGGCTCTTGTTCTCAGCTTGGGATACTTCTTCTTCGACATGGCTTGGTGCGTGCATTTCCGCACCGAGGGTCCGGTGATGTTGGCCCACCACACCATGAGCATCTTCGGAATCCTGCTGGCGCTGGGTCTCGGCGAGTCGGGCATCGAGACCTGCGCAGTCCTCTTCGGCAGTGAGATCACCAACCCGCTCCTGCAGGCCCGCTGGTTCCTCAAGCGCATGGGCCGCTACGACAGTTTAGCTGGAGATGTGGTGGACCTGCTCTTCATTCTTCTGTTCGCCTCTGTGAGGATCGGGGTTGGGAGCAGAATGCTGTACTGTGAATTAACCTCTCCAAAGCCATTGTTTGTAGTGAAGGTTTGTGGGGTGGCTATTTACACTCTCTCCTGGGTCTTCATGGTGGACATCGCACGTTTCGCCTGCAGGAAAACTCGCACCAAATACAGGAGATGGAAGGAACGGTACAAGCTGGAGGATTCTAATGGACATGCTGTTAAAGTGAAATAGACCATTCTGTGAACAAATGGCATATCTGCTGATATATGTAGCGAGAAGGATTGTCTTAAAGGGATAGTTCAGCCAAAAATGAAAATTCTGTCATTATTTGCATTGTTATTGTTTACCCTCAAGTTGTTCTAAGCCTGTATTTTGAATAGAAGATTTTGAAGAATATGGGTAACCAAATAGTTGATGGACCCCTTTGACTTCCATATTATGAAAAAAAAAAATACTATGGAAATCTTCTTTTGTGAAGTAATTCATGCAGGTTTGTACGGAGCCCCCCTAGTCTCACTTTGGCAAAAAAAAGTAATTGATACTATCTCGTGGCCTCAAGATACTAGCTCATGGCCTCAAGATAGTAACTCGTGGCCTCAAGATAGTAACTCGTGGCCTCAAGATTGTAACTAGTGGCCTCAAGATAGTAACTCGTGGCCTCAAGATAGTAACTCGTGGCCTCGAGATAGTAACTCGTGGCCTCAAGATAGTAACTCGTGGCCTCAAGATTGTAACTAGTGGCCTCAAGATACTATCTGGTGGCCTCAAGATAGTAACTCGTGGCCTCAAAATAGTAACTCGCACACCTCAAGATAGTAACTCGTGGCCTCAAAATAGTAACTTGTGGCCTCAAGATAGTAACTCGTGGCCTCAAGATAGTAACTCGCACACCTCAAGATAGTAACTCGTGGCCTCAAAATAGTAACTTGTGGCCTCAAGATAGTAACTCGTGGCCTCAAGATACTATCTCGTGGCCTCAAGATAGTAACTCGTGGCCTCAAGATAGTAAGTCGTGGCCTCAAGATAGTAACTCGTGGCCTCAAGATACTATCTCGTGGCCTCAAGATAGTAAGTCGTGGCCTCAAGATAGTAACTCGTGGCCTCAAGATAGTAAGTCGTGGCCTCAAAATAGTAACTTGTGGCCTCAAGATAGTAACTCGTGGCCTCAAGATACTATCTCGTGGCCTCAAGATAGTAACTCGTGGCCTCAAGATAGTAAGTCGTGGCCTCAAGATAGTAACTCGTGGCCTCAAGATAGTAAGTCGTGGCCTCAAGATAGTAACTCGTGGCCTCAAGATAGTAAGTCGTGGCCTCAAGATAGTAACTCGTGGCCTCAAGATAGTAACTCGTGGCCTCAAGATAGTAAATCGTGGCCTCAAGATAGTAACTCGTGGCCTCAAGATACTATCTCCTGGCCTCAAGATAGTAACTCGTGGCCTCAAGATAGTAAGTCGTGGCCTCAAGATAGTAACTCGTGGCCTCAAGATACTATCTCGTGGCCTCAAGATAGTAAGTCGTGGCCTCAAGATAGTAACTCGTGGCCTCAAGATAGTAAGTCGTGGCCTCAAGATAGTAACTCGTGGCCTCAAGATAGTAACTCGTGGCCTCAAGATAGTAAATCGTGGCCTCAAGATTGTAACTCGTGGCCTCAAGATTGTAACTCGTGGCCTCAAGATAGTAACTCGTGGCCTCAAGATACTATCTTGTGGCCTCAAGATACTAACTCTATCTTGAGGCCACGAGTTACTATCTTGAGGCCACGAAATAGTATCTTGAGGCCACGAGTTACTATTTTGAGGCCACAAGATTGTTATAATTAATTTTTTTTTTGCCAAAGTGGGACTAGGGGGGCTCCGTAGGTTTGGAACAACTTGATGACAGAATAAAACATTTTGGGTGAACTATCCTTTTAACTTAACACGCTTTCCTTTTCACTAATTAATTTCCATTCATTTTACTGGATACATTTACATAAAAGTTTCCGATTCCTGACTTTCACAAAATTTAATATTTACTTAGGCTACCACATTTTTTTTTTGTTGACATATTAGGATTTTATTCATTTCCACAATTTTTCCATGACATATTAAGATAATCATTTTCAGGACTTTTTCTTGTTAATAAAGATTATATACATTTTCATGACTTTTCCATAAAATATTAATACATTATTAATTACCTTGACATAGTAAGACGTTATTGTTTCCTCAACTTTTGCAAGACATTAAGATATTCATTCTCATTCATTTCCATTGCTTTCCGTAACATATAACTATTTTCATTTTCACAACTTTTGCATGACATATTAGGACTCCAAATGTCACGACTTTTCTGTGACATATTACGATTTTATCAATTTCCATTGCTTTTCCGCAACGTATTAATATATTGTATTCATTTCTGTGACATATTAAGATTTTATTCATTTTGATTACTTCCCCATGACATATTCAAATTTTATGCATATTCATGACATTCCAAGGTCTAGAAAACTACTTTAAAAATCCCGCATAAATGTGAATTTTAATGACTGAGTGAACTGTTACAAACTCCAAACCAAAGTGCTCAAAACCACAACTACACATTAACATAAATATGCAATCAAACAGATAAAGTACATTGACAATGAGAGTGCACTCATGTTTCACATCTGCTATTGCTATTGAGCCTGTGAACGATAGAAGGGTTTCTTTTGCAATGACATTACCTGTTACTGCAAAAGCTGATACTGTATTTCCTCAGCAGAAATTTTCCTTCTTCTCAAACATCTTCTACGAAGCCTGTAAAATTAAACCCGCCCCACTCTCTCTTTGGTTTTACAGGTTTAATGACACAACTTAAATTCACCACTAACCTCTTGGTCTTGTGGATTTTCAAATTGCACAAGACCACCAACTTCCTTTAGGAATTATATTTGTATATTTTTAAAGCTGAAGTTATGAGTTATGGTTATTGAATTTCAAAAGAAAAGACTTGAGCATCTGTTTGGACTGGTATTTCTTTCTTATATATAGACACTAAACAAGAGGATGGAAGATGGATGTGTGTTTGGCCACTGTATCCAAAACACAGAAGAATCTTGAAATGTTAAAAACTATGATAATGCAAGAGGCCTGTTCTGAATGTAACATGTAGGTCTAGTTTTTTTTAGTATGCATGAGTCAACATAAATAAAGCCTCTCTCCACAAACAAAATACCATTTTAAGATATATTTGATCATTAAACTTACTTGTGGATTCAGATGCAAAGTTCACTGTAAAAAAATATTGTTACTTAAAAAAAGTAACCTGGTTGCCTTAAAAATTTAAGTTGATTGAAATGGAAAAATTGAGTTAATACAATGAAGGAGATTTATTTAATCATCAGAAACTCAAAATATTATGTTATCTGAACTACATAAATTATCTATGTTTTTTTGACAAAAGAAAAAATGTTGTGATTACAAATCATGAAAATATTTTTTTTTTTACAGTGTTTATATTTACTGCTGCTTCTTCTTCTTTTTGTTCTGGCCTGATTAGTAAAATAAACTTTAAATAGACCAATTATTTTGTTAAAATATTTTCTGGACGTACAACTTTCACTACAAAGGTTTCAAAACTGATTTTTTTTTCTTCATTTATTATAATTGTATTAAAATTGTCTTGTGACAGATGGGAAAACCCTACCAATATCAGCATCCCTGTTCACACATGAGCTAAATTATTTACAGATTATTGTTAAATATTACTGTGGCATCAGAAACACTGGATATCTATTCATTCATTCTGTTCAAAACCGCTAGGTGGCGCAAAAGATTTAACTATACTCCTTATCACAATTGACCAATAAATCACAGCTCTGTCTTTTATTCCAAATGATTTGTTTCTGTTTTATTTCCTCCTTATTTGGTATTTTATTGATTAACTGACACAGCTAGGCCTATTTGTTTAAGACAACATGTTAACGAATACAAGCCAGGTTATATATTTGTTGTTGTTGAATATTACAATACAATATGGTGAATATAAATGTATATGAAAGGTACACATGCTTAATTGAATTCAGCATTAATTTAACTCTGGAAATGCTTCTTCGAATACATCATTAAGTGACTTTTAAGTTTATTCTTTGCGATTTTTAGCTAATCTGTAAACCAACTAACTTGATTTACTGGTTTAAGTGAGTGAGTAATGTTCTTAATTTGCCACTGACAACAACTAGTAGGCTAGTCTAGTCTACACTTGGGAGGCGATATTGCTGTTTGCGGAAGGATACCCAAAAGGAGGTGAAGCGTCGCAGGCTCGCAGCAGGCGTAGGAATCCGGGATGTGATTTTACTGAAAGTCAGGAATTATCTGGATTTTTTGTGATTTTTTTCATAATCGTTTTTAATCTTCGTTTAACGCGAAACTGACACATGTGACAACACATATGCGTTTGTTTTCTTCATTTGCGTTGGTATAGAGACTGAATTCTTGGTGCACAGATTCTGGTGGGGAAAAAACGGCTACAAACTACTGAATTTTGGAAAACATGGAGACAAGAAGGGAAGGACCCGACTAAACCAAAGTTTCCAAACAAATTATCCCGGGAAAAGAGGGAATCCGTTCGAGAGAGGAAAATATGTTTAGTACATCCGTCAAGTGTGGATTGTACTTTATTGCCGCTTTAAAACGAAGCTTTTTTGAGCAGAATTCCTGAGCTGGGAACTATCCGTTACCGCAGCTCCTAGCACAAACATCAAACGATTTGTAAAGTTTTCTCCCGATTTTGTTGTGGAAAATGTGGGAATTCTGGAAGTTGGACTAGGTAGGAGAAGAATTACGATGAAAGGTTGAACCGTGTGGCTGTCTTAATCCACCGTTTGAGTGAATTTCCCCAGATTTCCACACGTTGGAGTGGACAGGAAGGATACATCTCATTCTTATGGAGAAAAAAGTCCATTCAGCGTGTAAGGGGCCTAAAAAGGATGTATATTGAGTTTACAGACTAACTTTACAGTGGCAATACAGTACTGTTTTATTTACAGTTGAGAAATTCGCGTATGGAGTTCGGTTCTGTTTAGGAATGCCGATTTGGAAGTGTGTCGTTTTGGAAATGATAGGAAACCACCGAGACGTACGAAGTAACAATTGGGACTGTAAAATGAGCCAAGAGCTTTTGGACTGACGTGAAATGCGACCGGACAGTCTCTTTCATTCGTAAGGCAACATTTTAACAAAAGATTATTCATCTGAGTTTACTTCCAGTCGTGGTTTTGGGATTGACAAAGGCGACTGTATCCAGACAGAGGCGAGGGGGAAGCCTGTCGGACTGTGTGGTGGCATTTTGGCTGGGAAAATGATGAAGCGTCTCAGACAGACAGAAAGAGTTTTCCTCCATTGATCATCTGTGTTTGCTTTTAGCATCGATTTCCTTTACTAACTGTAGAGCTAAAGTCAAATGACACAGCATAGTAAAACCAACACAGTCAAACCGTGGAAATATAAAACATAAGCTTGTATCTCTCTTCCATTCCAGAGGAGACATTCCCGAAAACATCAAGACGGAACTGTCAAAATTCAAAAGTGCCTCTCGGCTGTTGTTGTTGTTTTGGTTTGTTATTTTCTCTCGAATATAAAGGTGTTTTACCATGGTAAAATGCTAATTGGATAAGAACTGAAGAAAATCAAGAAAGGAAAGCCCAATGAGCGGCACACAGTCCACGCTTGCTGAGAGGTAAATGATGACATAATATTTACATGATTGTGTTATGATAATGATAGTGATCTGTCTTAGGTTTATGACACGGTTTATAAATATCTAAAACACTATATTGTTGATGTTGAGATGAATCTGGCAGCCTTCAGTAAAGTAGGCTAGGACTTGGAATGCATAAAAACAATTACAAGTGTTTGGATGTTTACCTTAGTAATACCATGGTATTCTTATAAATACCTCGGGATACTGTGTACAAACTTTGGTATTTATATAATTGTAATTAGCTACCGTAGTTTTAGCAAATTACCATGGTGTAACTGTACTATTCACCCAAAAATGAAAATTTTGTCATTTCTTACCCTCAAGTTGTTCCAAACCTGCATGAGTTTCCTCCTCACACAAAAAGATATTTTGAAGAATGTTGGTAACCAGACAGTTGACGGCATCCATTGACTTCCATAGTAGGAAAAGAAAATACTATGGTTGTTAATGGGTGCCGTCAACTGTCTGGTTACCAACATTCTTCTGAACATGTTTCAAAATATCTTCTTTTGTGTTAAAAAAAAGAGAAACTTAGCCTATACAGGTTTGGAACAACATGCCGGTGTGTAACTGATTACTATTTTTATTTTTTTTCCTTTTTAGGGGATGTATCTCTTTAAAGAGCTCAAATAAATGCCGAAATGTACTATTTTTGGTAACATGGTGGTAGTACCACAGTATTCTTCGAAATACCTTTGAGTATACATATAAATACCATCACATGAATATGCTAATCATTTAATATCTCAAAACACTTCAGTGTACCCTCCCTGGTACTGCCATGGTACCTTTTATTTAAGGCGACTTAGTCACCTGTTAAAATGGATATACAATCCGAATAAGTATCCCCATACAAAACCCTAACCTAAGTCAATGTTCAGTGTTTAAGATCTCTTTAAGATCGAAAACTGATCTTAAAGAGCATGATGGGTAATATTGTTATCCAGTTGTTCTCCTGGGTCTTAAGACGTGCCGTCAAACCTCTCAAAATTGTCAAGTTGATAAGAAAACAGGTGACCTTATAACCTTGCAGCTCGAATTTACTTGATTTTTTCCCCAGATCAGCGTAATGTTCATGAATATTTTTTTCTAAGCAAAAACAATTTGGAACCACTTATTTATTGTGACAGTGTGTGGTTTGTATATTGTTTTGGTAGTGCACTAGTCACTCAGAGTGACCCTGAGTGAGTGAGAGTAAATCTCGTTCGGTAAAAGGAACAAATCTTTATTCAAGTAATTGTGTTCATTTGAGCAGAACTAAATTAAATGTTAGCCTGCATTTTCAATAGCCAGATTATTCCAACACACTTTTTTTTTTTGAAAAACGGAGTGAAAAGAGAAAAAGAGAATGCAGCCAATGACAAATTATGATGAACAGAAATTGTTAATTCGGGGTCTTCTGGTCCATGTCACCCATTCTTTTGTCACATGACAGATGCAGTACAAGAAACAGATTTGATTAGGCCTGGTTAATGTAAATGAACTAAATTCATGATCGACCCATCACTATGCCTGTGAGAGCCCACAGCTTGTGACAGGAAGCACTTTAGAAATGCTGTCATCTCACTGTGTTCTGCTAATGCTGCTCTTATGACTCGGTGTCTCTTGTTGTGGTCTTTACACGTTTTGAGTTGTTACCTGTAGTGCTCTACCAGTCGTACACATTCCAGAGAACAAAACTCAGAAGATGCTGAGTGCAAATGTGTCATCTTATCTGTGTGCACGTGCAGTTGTGCCTTGGTGTATGTTGCGTGACATATGTGTTTTGACACCTATGCTTTTTTAAATTATTTCCATCTTGCATATTGCAAATAGTACATGTAGTGAGAAGAGCCTGGAGAAAAAAAACAACAACTTTTAAAGGGTTAGTTCACGCAAAAAAGACTTTCGTTCATCTTTGGAACACAAATGAAGATATTTTTTATTTTTTTGATGAAATCTGAGAGCTTTCAGTTCGTCCATTGACGGTCTGAACAACTACCACTTTGACGCTTCAAAAAGTTCACAAAGAGATTCAACGGTTTAGTCCAAATTGTCTGATGAGACACGATCGCTTTATATCATAATATTGAATTTAGACTTTTATTCACGTATAAACATTCATCAATTCAACATTTAACCTGAACCTGCTTGAAGGGCGAGAGCGAACCTCATTGGTTCTTGCAGAAGCTCAAACGTACTGTGTAACACTAGAATGAACCTCATTGGTTCTTGCGGAAGCTCAAACGTACTGCGTAACACTAGAACGAACCTCATTGGTTCTTGCAGAAGCTCAAACGTGCTGCGTAACACTAGAACGAACCTCATTGGTTCTTGCGGAAGCTCAAACGTGCTGCGTAACACTAGAACGAACATCATTTGTTCTTGCAGAAGCTCAAACGCACTGCGTAACACTAGAACGAACCTCATTGGTTCTTGCGGAAGCTCAAACGTGCTGCGTAACACTAGAACGAACCTCATTGGTTCTTGTGGAAGCTCAAACGTGCTGCGTAACACTAGAACGAACCTCATTGGTTCTTGCGGAAGCTCAAACGTGCTGCGTAACACTAGAACGAACCTCATTGGTTCTTGTGGAAGCTCAAACGTGCTGCGTAACTCTAGAATGAACCTCATTGGTTCTTGCGGAAGCTCAAACGTGCTACGTAACACTAGAACGAACCTCATTGGTTCTTGCGGAAGCTCAAACGTGCTACGTAACACTAGAACAAACCTCATTGGTTCTTGCGGAAGCTCAAACGCGCTACGTAACACTAGAACGAACCTCATTGGTTCTTGCAGAAGCTCAAACGTGCTGCGTAACTCTAGATCGAACCTCATTGGTTCTTGCAGAAGCTCAAACGTACTGCGTAACTCTAGAATGAACCTCATTGGTTCTTGCAGAAGCTCAAACGTGCTGCGTAACTCTAGAATGAACCTCATTGGTTCTTGCAGAAGCTCAAACGTACTGTGTAACACTAGAACAAACCTCATTGGTTCTTGCGGAAGCTCAAACGTGCTGCATAACACTAGAACGAACCTCATTGGTTCTTGCGGAAGCTCAAACGTGCTACGTAACACTAGAACGAACCTCATTGGTTCTTGCAGAAGCTCAAACGTGCTGCGTAACTCTAGATCGAACCTCATTGGTTCTTGCAGAAGCTCAAACGTACTGCGTAACTCTAGAATGAACCTCATTGGTTCTTGCAGAAGCTCAAACGTACTGCGTAACTCTAGAATGAACCTCATTTGTTCTTGCAGAAGCTCAAACGTACTGTGTAACACTAGAACAAACCTCATTGGTTCTTGCGGAAGCTCAAACGTGCTGCATAACACTAGAACGAACCTCATTGGTTCTTGCGGAAGCTCAAACGTGCTACGTAACACTAGAACGAACCTCATTGGTTCTTGCAGAAGCTCAAACGTGCTGCGTAACTCTAGATCGAACCTCATTGGTTCTTGCAGAAGCTCAAACGTACTGCGTAACTCTAGAATGAACCTCATTGGTTCTTGCAGAAGCTCAAACGTACTGCGTAACTCTAGAATGAACCTCATTGGTTCTTGTGGAAGCTCAAACGTGCTGCGTAACACTAGAACAAACCTCATTGGTTCTTGCAGTCCAAAAATATTTATTTTAAAAGAATGTAAGTAAAATTACATAATTGATGTAGATCTGTTTTATTATTAAAGCTTTATGCATAGCATCTTTATGCATAGCATAGCACCTTATTGGAATCGAAATTAGGAAATGTTAAGTATAGGATTCGATATTAAGCGTAATCAGATATATATACACACACAACTCCATTATGTTTTTTTTTATCTGTTTTCAACATAAGAAATGTTTCTTAAGCGCAAACTTATTACGATGATTTCTGAAGGATCATGATAAATACATTTAAAATATACTTATAGAAAACCATTTTAAGATATTTCATACTATTACTATTTTAACTGTATTGTAAATACACATAAGGTGGTGTAAAGTGTGTAGTGAGTTGTATCCGATGACCAAACCTATACATAATGGACTGACAGGGACTTGGATGTTGTTTTCTCAATGGCTTTTACATGCTGCATTTGTAGACTGTTTTTCTTTGCTGGGTGGCTGGAGTTTTGGCAGTGAGTTCAGAGGGCATGTTGGCATTTTTAGAGGAGGATTATTCTTCCGTCTGTATTCTAGTTTCTCCAGGCTCTTCTCTGAAGACGTCTCACCAAAGCAAAGCTCCGCTCACCTCTCATCATTTGTCTGAATAACTGTCTGGCAGTAGCGAGTGAGTCAGAAGCCGTCTTCTTCTGGAAAGCTTTTGTATGTCACTACACACCACTTTAATCTCAAGGCTTCACAAAAGCTTTTTGTGTTTTTAAAAATAGTGCAGATGTGAGAAAGCAACTCAAGTTCTGTTGGGTTTCATGGCAACACAACAGCTGTGTCCGAAACATAAGGCCACTGCCTTGATGACTTCACAGGTGGTGTTTTTGTGCGAAAACGCCTAATAAGGAAGTTCAGAAAGCGCAACTGCATGTCTAATGATCTAGAACAAATTAATGTAAAGAATCCAAGCAAATGTTTAGTGACTACAATACCTATTCCTTACTAGAACTAAAACTTTTCAATTTATTTTATTTTATTTATTATTATATAAAAAGAGGATTTTCATTGTGCTTTGGTATGGTCTTACTTTTGTTTACTGGCTAATTCAGGTTTTGGACAGACAATTATGTGTGATGGCTAGCATAACGACGCTTCGTACAGTATGCTTGTTTGATGGGGGCATTATTTTTAATTCAGATGTTTCCAGTATTATGTACTGTAACATCAACTAAATAACATGATGAGCTTGAGTCCACATAACCTCCCCAGATATGATCTAACTAACATCTACTAAAGACACCAAAAAATTTTTGTGTTCTTATCTGACTTCATGTGGCGAGAATCATGGCATTGAATGTTTGCTGAAGGCTGTATCGTGCAGCTTGCTCTTTGTCACTGCATTTCG